CAAAAGTATCACGGATAATAATAGCATTAACCGGCCGTCACTGTGTAGCGTTTCGATTCATGAAGCCCTTACTTCGATTCTAGGTCCGGAATCCATCTGTTCTGATCGTATATTTTCGATGTTTTTCTCAGTTTCTATAGGAAAATTCTAGGTTCCCACTTTAAACTACGTCCCGATTGCAATAATATGTTTCGCAGTTTATCTCGCAGCCATCCCCGCTGTATACTTTACGGATTTGAGAAAGCGTGAAAGAAGAGTCCAAGAGTTATCGCGTAGTTAAAAAGAAAAGGTTAAAATGAAAACATGTGCAGGATATTAAAATTTTAAGAGAGCATACGAATAGCCTAGCAGGTTTGCAGATCATGGTTCGCTTCCTTGCAGAAGTAGGTACGCTTCTTTCTGTCACAGCATCCAAACTGAGTGTGGGGCCCATCCAGGGTTACCCCCGTGGGCAATGAGAGCGGCTAAAGCAGCTAAGGTTCGAATCTCAATTACGTGTTACTTACTTATGGAGCTGAGCTCTTCTTGAGGAAAAGGTACATCTGCAGCTACTCAAGAATTTCCCAGCATTTCATGGAACCCGAAGGTTCATTACCGTGTTCACAAGAGCCCTCCACTGGTTCCTATCTTAAGCCAGATCAATCTAATACATACCATCCTATTCTATCTCTCTAAGATCCATTTTAATATTGTCCACCAACCTACGCCTTGATCTTCCCAGTGGTCTCTTTCCTTCTGGCTTTCCCACCAATATCCTATATGCATTCCTCTCCTTCCCATTCGTGCTACATGCCCTGCAAATATCATCCTCCTTGACTTGATCATTCTAATTATACTTGGGGAAGAGTACACGTTACGAAGAAATTACGTGTTACTTAGTAAGAAAAATGAGAAATTAACTTAACAGTTCCAATATTTGTATTACCGTGACTGTACCAGAGGATCCGCCCTTCTTGGGGGAGGAGCGTTAAACTTACCAATTTGCACGGAGAGTAGTCCGCGAACAAATGGTTTGAGCACGAAACCTAGCTAAAACATATGAACCCAATTTGTCATGCCCATTTTCTCAGTCTTCATACAAAACGTTACTGACTAATATGACGCCCTAAAGGGGAATTCTGTCTTGATTGCGGTCTCGCTGATTTGAGGCTAAACCAACGTGAAAATCGAGTTCAAGTGTTTACGTTTCGGGTTTGCTTCGTGCAGGAACAGAACCGCTTCCTCTCCTCGATTATCAGCTCCACAATTTTAAGAAAATGCAACGGGCAAACGCTCGCTGTAATTTCTTTCGTGATATCTTATAACAATATATATATATAACCTACTTACAAGGACCGCCTCTGTGGTCTAGTGGTCAAACTCCCTGCCTACAGATCCAGAGGTCCCTGGTTCGATTCCCAGCACAACCACATTTTCTGAGAAGTAGTGGGTCAGGAACGGGGTCCACTCAGCCTCGCGAGGATAATTGAGGAACTAGTTCAAGGAAATAGCGGTTCCGGTCTAGAAAACAGAGATTAATGACCGTGGGGATCCGTTGCGTTGACCACGCAACACCCTCTATCCGCTAAAGTTGGCACTAACTTCGCCGACAAGAGGCGGTGGATGCATAGATCCACTTTTTCTTTATTTCGGCTCTAGTTGGAGGTAAGTGGTCAGCTTCACGTCCCAGTCGCTTTACCCCTAGAGGAAGAGCCTCTGGTATCCATTGGGTATGAGGCTGCTTGGACCCCAGAGCCGGTCTGGACGACGTGGAGCAGAGAAAAGTCTTGATCTTCTTGGGATTAGAACTCCGACCTCTGGGTTGTCCAACCCGTAGCCAGTGCTATACCGACTGGGCTATCCCGGCTTCTAGGGAATTTTTGTAACGTTGGACATTCGAAGGATTACGTAGATGATGTGAGTATAATAAGAAAATGATTATGTAAATTTGTTCTAAAACAGATGCGAGAGAAATCTGTCTTTCAAAGGCTGAATCGGACAAAAGAAATTCAAGAAAGGGCAACAAGTTTCCTTAGTCTGTATTATGAAAATAAGGAAATATTTGTGTTTATAATATATTCAATCAGGGTTGCCAAAAACTTGCTGAAACAAAATTTAGGCCTGTCTTATATACATAAACCAGACAGAAAAAGAATGGGAAAATTTACCTCATAAAAGAATATACGTACACGTATTTTAAAATTTTTCTGTAAGATTTTAAATATCCCACTGATTTTGGGATTTGTTTACTGATCATATGGAATGAGATATAGAATTGGTCTCCCTTCATATCATTAGATATGTGACGTCACAGCGCTGATGTATATAGACCATCCCTCCAAAATCAGCATCCCAGAGCCCTTCTTCATTTATCTGTGATTTATAACAGTGTTTCTCAACCGCCGGGCCCTGCCATCAATTATACCATGGCATCTTCTTATAGAAAAAGAATTTACCGGGACGCGGACTGACAAAAGTTGACAATCACTGATTTATACCATATAATATCTACACATTTAATGAACCCTAACATTACAATTCAGTATATTAAAAATAAATCTTACCTAAACTATCAATAAACAGTAAATATTTATTTTCTTCCAATAAAGTGTGTACGAAGTCGATAAGACAACCTTCATTGTACATTCCAAATACGTACATGAGGGCACGAAATAGCGTAGTTGGTTGAGGCACTATGCTACAAGCCGGAAGATCGCGGGATCGAATCCCGATGAGGTGGATTTTTTCAATTGACCTTATCCTACCAGCCTCACTATGGCCCTAAGGTCGACTCAGTCACTAACAGAAATGAGTACCAGGAATATTCTGGCTGACAACCTTACCGCCATCTGTGAGCCGATTTTCTAGAAAATGTGGGAACCTCGACGTCTCACAACCCTATGGGCCTCCACGGCCTGTTACAGGGATACATTAACTTTTCTTACCTTTCAAAAACAAAAATAAAAGTAGTTGAATACTAATATTAATTTAAATTGGGCTGCAGGTACTTATACATTATTGTAAAGCTGTTCACAGTACATTGAATGATAAATAAATCTTGTTTTCATTAAACATTCTGTATTCAAATAATATTCAAAATAAATTTGAGATCTCAGTAAGGCCTGTGTTTCCTGTTGTGATTATAAGAGAGACATTCGGTAAATTCAATATTACCTTCAGGTAAAGCAGGTGTTATTACACTAAAGGGCATCAATATTAAGCCAGTTAAACAATTCTTGGCGTAAATGCACAATACCAAATTTAATCGAAATCAGTCAAGTAGTACCGGGGATATAATATTCGGACGGAGAGACATGACCTTACTATTACACGTTCATATTGTGTAAAGAATTCATATGAATGAATCACAAATGTTTATATTTATTTCCCGTATAAAAATTGATAGTGGTTAAAAATGTGTTCAAAACGAACTTATATTAGAAACAGAAAAAAATACATATAAAACATAATTTAAATTCACAGTTTTCGGCCATGTTCTCTTATCGTATTTATATTTGAAACATAAATGAGGTTATTGCCGAGGCCAGTAATTGCTGCCTATACTACGGCATTCCTCTCCAAGTGCCGCCGTGTGGATATTCACGTGTGGAAACACATGAACTTCTCAGACCGCAGCGAGTCTCTGTTGACCCAGTAAACAAAGGCTACTATCACTTACAATTTAGCAGTGTACAGTCGTGGTTAAAATTTCTTACGCTCACTCTGTAACGTATATATTTCATTGCTTACATTCTTTATTCCAAACTCTGTAAAACGGTCTCAAAAGATGTAAAAATTCCCTGCAGCTGGCAAGCATGATTAAAAACCTCGATGGACATAAACAAGGTTTTTTATTTCCAGTGGGGTGGAACTAAGTCCCTTGTACTGCGGCCACTTCTGGCCTATTGTACCAGCCCCAGATGATAGGTGAGGGTGATTGTGAAGCAATTGGTGGAATGAAGATTGGCAGGGGAAACCGAACTACTCATAGAACACCTGTCCCAGCGCCACTTTGTCCACCACAAACCCCACTTGACCAGACTTGGGATCGAACCCGGGCCGCCGTGGTAAACAAAGTTGCATAAAAAGAAGTTTTATAATAAAAGTAGAAAAGTATTTTTTTCGATATAGTTATCCATATACCTCAATAAGCCTTTCTTACACAATTTGTTTAACGTCGCTTTATCATCTGTGTACGTTATATATCACCAGCTTATACAGAGTATCCGAGATGAAAGGTCATTAATCTGAGAGGTCATAGTATAGAGTTTGTACATCGTTCGATATTATCAAGAATATCAAATAACACAATGTTTCGAAAACTGGATCTGTTTCCGTCTTCAGATCGGTAGATGGGAGATACCTACTCTGTTGGGTCCGTTAGAAAAACCTAACCTCAAACACTAGACAAGTTTTAGTTCTGAGTTTTATACACCATCGTCAGAGCCCTCTAGAATCCAGCCTTGTAACTGTAATTATTTAGGTAGGTACATAAGCAATACTCACCTCCAACTACTGCTGAGACCAAGAATATATGGATCTGTACATCCACTTTACCATACGCCTTCATGGAGTAGTGCTTAATTAGTTAAGCACCGAAACAAATTTATCTTTGCATAAGCAGTAGAATAAAGCTATAGTTTCCCCTGAGCGAACGGCGCCATAATGTATGGGGAAGTGGAGGTTAAGCGCCAGGGTCATGAGTCTGGATCAAGGTGAATACGTAGGTATTTCTTCCTGGGTAGAGAATTTACTGAACTTTGAAAATAAAGATCCTTGGGCGCATGTGCAGAGCAATCCTAAAACGCTAAAGCAAAATATCTTGCGACCCTTTAAAATGTTACGTAGTTGCAGAAGATGATGCGATGTTTTTAGAACGGCATTTAACTTGAATTGACGGGTTCAAGGTCGGATATTGCAAACAACAGGAAGTGTTACGTATGTAGTTCTTGCGGCTTACTGGGAAAGAGGGCACGGACGAAAATGGACCAAATGTACATAGAAATAAGACAGTAAGTTACCTGGAGAGGATCTTGGAGACGCAGCCATGGGAAACTCTCAGTTGTCGAGAGATGTCACACGGCCGGACGCCGTTGTGGGCCAGCTCCACTATTCTCTGCCGCACGACGTCAGGCAAAGGCCTTCCGTTCACAAACACGCCGCCTAGCTGGTTCACACCACCGTGGCCTGAAGCAATAGAACATTTGTAAGAGTCACTGAGAAACAAACTCTTTATTACATGATCTGTGAAAAAGAATATGAAATGAAATCCAATTTGGGGAGTTGTGGACGCCTGTCTTTAGGTTTCACATCAGTATCTATTTTTACTGCTAGTGGGGTGGGACTAAGTCCCTTGTACTGAGGCCACTTCTGGCCTATTTTACCAGCCCCAGATGATAGGTGAGGGTAATTGTGGAGCAATTGGTGGCATGAAGATTGGCAGGGGAAACCGAAGTACTCGGAGAAAACCCGCCCAAACGCCACTTTGTCCACCACAAATCCCATTGACCAGACCCGGGATCTAACCCGGGCCGCTGTGGGAGGCCAGCGACTAAACGGTTGGGCTATGGCGCTGCCTATCCATCTATCTATGGCTCTACAGCCCTTGTGGTACTTGGCCTCTTTTTTACTTTCTTAATCTTATATACAGTCGGTAGGACTCCTCGGACGGGGATCAGCCCGTCACAAAGCCGCTACCTAGACCAGGACAAAACAAAGAGTAAACTCACATAGACATCCATGACTTGAGTGGGATCCGAACTCACGATCCCAGTTGGCGGGCGAAGGCGGTTCATACCTCAAACAGCGCGGCCACTGTCATTTTCAGTTAAATTTGCCATTGTGGGTTTGCCCTAAACAGAAGCCTACATTTTAAGTTTGCTTTATGTTAGCTGGAAGTAACACCCAAACTTTACATGAGGCTGAAATCGAACTTCAAACACATTCTCAGTGAAATATCCACATTGTACTAACAAAATGTTACACGAAACAGAACATGGAAAACATAGAAGGAAGGTAAACATGTTCCTGTACTGTATTGGCCAAGCACCACGACATTAAGACGTACTGGGGAATGGAGGTATGTCTCCATCAATCTTTACCTTGACACCAAACGGAGATGAGTGGTCAGCATGACGCCCGGGGGAACCGCCCCCACACAAATAATTTTTAATAGGAGGCTGGGTGGAGCCCAGATCCATAGAATATTGGCGTTATTAAAATCTGCAAAAGGTTCAGTTGTGCCTCTGATTAACGAATTAAACACTACGTCATGAAGGTGTATGGGGGAGTGGATGTATAGATCCATATTCTCTTGATTTCTGCACTAGCTGGAGGCGAGTGGCCAGCGTCACGCCCAAGCCCGGGGAAAGTGTCCCCCTTACACATTGGATAGGAGGTTGGGTGGACCCCAGGGACGGTCTGAACGAAATGAAGAAATGAAAATTTTTGACCCCCATTGGGACTCGAACTCTGAGCAGTCAAGTCGTGCAGCCCGTAGCCTGGCGGTATATCGAGTACTCTTCCCAGCATCCTTATTAAAATCTGTATTATTTTAATATCTGTTCTTGCTGTAAATTTTGACACCAGCCGTAGAACACAGCATAAAAAATTATGAATTTAAATTAACTTCCTAATTTGCCTTGCTGCTATAATCAGCCATTAGTATGGTGCATTCTAGAACAGATCCGTCCAGGGTGCAGCTGCTGGTGGGCAACACTGTTCTTGTGACGCACCTCCGTGTTCCAGTGGCCTACATGTGTAAATATACATACGACAATTATTGTCGTTTTGAAAATACTAACCCAAATTCTGACGTGGAATAATTATCATTTATTACAATTATCTAAAGAGAATGGGCTAAACCTGTTATAGACATTCCAGTAGCAACTGCGTGTCATGCAGATGACTGCATTTTATAATTCTGAATAAAAAAAAACATTTACTCTCCTCCCTATTTAACTTTCCTTCCTCAGGGCGTGTTGTCCTCCTATCTCCGTTAGTTCTGTTCTGTTGTGTTTTACGAATGTATGCATGATGGTGGGACAAAATACCAGCACTCTCGAGGCAGGATAATTCTACAACTTTTGTAGTTGTAATTGTATTTGTAATTATATTTGTATTGTATTCATTGTGTGTCCTTTATTGTTTGTGTAGTTTGTGTGATATGTGTTATTGTGTATTATGTCTTATTGTAATACCACTGCCACCGAGTAAAAACCCATTTTTAATTTAAATAAATAATAACAATAACATGATGAATAATATATACAAATATATAAAGACCCGAAAGGGCTTTGACGACGATGTATAACCCTCAGTTACCGGAAATTAGGATTTTATCAATCATCCGGTGACTGAGATTAACTCTTTCTAAGATGCTCAACAGAATAAGCATTTCTCCCCTCACCTGAGGACGGAAACAGATCAAGTCCCCGAAACGTTATGTTTTCTAGTTTTTAGAATATCTGGCAAACGGACAAGTCCTAAAACACAATAACTGTGGCATATCCAGTCGGGATTCGAAATATACCGGCCGGCCTTCGCTTGTATTTTAATCGGCCCTCTTTAACTCCAGGAGAAAATATATTAGTTAGAAAATGAGGCAAAAAAAATCAAGGATATTCACCGAAAACAGAAAGTCATATTATATGTAAATATTTTACATTCTGCATAAAGGAATTATGGTAGTCGAAGAAAGATTAAAATCTTGACAGTGTTTCCAAGCATCCAGCAGAGAGTAGTAATGCCAACAACACCCGTCCAGAAGTGGATGTAGAGGACCTAATATCCAAAGTGAGTTTTCGCATTATGGTCCTCAGTTGTTTCTATTATCCTGTAGCCTGGGGCGCTGCAATATGTTTCTACCCTCAGATTTAATGACACCCTGCAGTGCACTCCTCCTTCCCCCCTAGAAATGCCCCCTTCACCCTCACTAGCAAAGCTTTGTGCGCGGCAGAGAAGGGAAGTGATATAGCCAATTGTTTGATGAAGTGGATGGAGTGCTCGTGTACGTCGAGTAATATGGAAATATGCCTTTTGGTTCGGGGAGGGTACAGAAAGGTTACTAGAATGTTTGGCTGTCAATGTTACGCGATAAGAATGCAACAGTGGCATAAGTTTCTTCGCGTATTTGTCTCCGAATTTCAGACATTTACGACGGCGAGATCTGAGGAAAAAGAACATTAGGATTGTCAGCTCGAATCCAGTTGGGAACGTGGATCTATTTGCTGTTTGTAGTGTTGTGTTGTTCTGTATATATAGAAGCCTATAATGAAATTATCCTCTATCCAATGAATCCTATAAATTATCGAAAATATGTTGTTTCGGAACTAAATATGTATTGAAATATGCTAAAGAGAACATGAAACGAGAGCTGAACAATATTCTCTAAAAGTAACAATGCCAATAATTAAAATATTAACTAAATAGCATAATTCCCCGTCGAATAGTACAGCCTTATTGTGGACAGGAAATCGGCGAGCCTCAATAAAACGGAGAACTATGTTGGCGGTAGCGTAAGCTCCTTGTAGAGCCATCCACGACAGGCAGGTCAAAGGATAAAGGAAAGACGCAGTGTAGCTCCTGGTTTTGCAGAATGGGTGTTGGGCGTGTGGATAACAAATCCATCCCGGATAAACCCATTGTTACGAACACTTCTGAGTCTATGGAGGACCCACAGTGTTGTAGTGCCAATAAAGAAGGGCACACACCGAAGTAACTAAAGTAATTAAGCAATTAATATGTTTCTGGCGGCAGTGAACAGGCCTATGTAGATTTTGGTTTCCAAGGAGGTGAAGTTGTATTGTTTGGTATATATTGTCACGTGTATGAGTGACTTCAGACGGGGTTTGGATTGGTAATTGGATTTATTGAAAGAACTGCAGCTCTATCGCTAATTCACGCACTCAGCAGTTCACTGCAGCACGTACTGAGTATTCTTAGCCTGCTTTGTCTTCGGCGGTTGTCTCCTGGTAACGGCTTCCAACGCCTTAGATACCTCAACTGCCATGACGTCCTTAGTGGCCGACGACTGTCTCACAACTAAATCCTATTTTTCTGTCTTCCGTCTCGAGACTTTCTCGTAATCGCAGCTGCTGTTCGTTATATAGAATATCAGACGATGGACAAAGTTCAAAAGCCCAGTAATCCTAAATCCATTAGATTTAAAATATGTTAATTTTATGCAGATCTCCGTTTTTATATAAATTCTTACACCTAGGTGAAAAAAGCCTATCTTAATTTTACCAAGAGAAAATAAGAATTTTCTAATGAATGTAATTTATTTCTGGGGCTGTAAGCAAAAAATTGTTAGAATTATAATATTAAGGAAAAAGTTAAATTTTTCTCTGTGCTTAACTAATTAAGCACTAAATCATGAAGGCGTATGGGGGAGTGGATATATAGATCCATATTCTCTTGACCTCGGCACTAGCTGGAGGTGAGTGGTCAGTTTCAAGGCCCGACCACTTTACCCTCGCGGAGAGAGCCCCCGATGCCCATTGGATGTGACGTTGGGTGGGCCCCAGAACTGATCTAAATGACATAGAGAAGTGAAAATTCTTGCTCCCACCGAGACTCGAACACCGACCTCTTGGTCATCCAGCCCGTAGCCAGTTACTATACCGATAACGCTAAATATTAAGAAATACTAAATAAAAAATTAATACTCTAAATATCCTAAAGCTGCGATCCTGGTCTCGAATCCCACTGAAGACATAGATGTCTATGCGCGTTTATTCTGTTTGTGTTATTCTGTGTGTAGTTAGTGGCCTTGCGACTGGCTGATCCCCATCCAAGGAGTCCTACCGACTGTGTATAGAATCAAGAAACTAAGAATTCGGCCAAGGTCAAACAAAGGGCTGTAGAGCTATAATAATAATAATTATTACGAGCGGAAATGTTGGGTTTTAAATTAATCCATAAACCATTCTCTACAGATTTAATCTACAAGTATTTCTGTAAATTCAAGGGTTAATTAAATAAATGGTGATCTTATCCTGCACTCTCACGAAACGTTGCGCGATGCCCGCGCCAGCTGATCCTGGAATGCAAGCAGCCTCAGGAACTAAGCGCGAGATGTACAGTGATAGTTCCTTGGCTCCAATCCGCTGATTGCGTTCCTGAAGCAACATTAACGACACGGCCATATTTAAGTGCACCTCCGCAGTTCGCGTCATTAAGCGTAG